TGTACAGCGTGGTGACTATAGTTAACAAAACTGTATAGTTAACAAAAAGAGAGTAGATCTTGAAAGTTCTCATCACAAGAAAAAAAACTGTAATGATGTGTGATAGATGTTACCTAGACTTATGGTGGTGATCATTTCACAATATATACAAATATTGAATCATTATGTTGTCTACCTGACATATTAATATACTATTATATGTCAATTATATATCGATAAAAATGTTTTTAAAAAAGCTACACTGAGATACTATTTCTCATCTATCAGAATGCCAAATATCCAAAATTTTTTTCAATATACTCTGTCAGTGAGGCTGTGAGAAAACACACACACAGGGTAGTAGAAATGCAATAGGATACAACCCATGGAGGGGAAGTCGGGAATATCTAGTACAGCCACACATGTCTTTATTCTTTGTCCCAGCAATCCCAGTTAGAGGAATTAATATCAAAGAAACCTACCCAAAATACAAAAGTAGTACGCACACACTATTCACTACAGTGCTCTTAATCATAGCAATAGATTGGAAACCACCCAAATGTCCACCAAGAGAGGACTGAGTGAATAAATAATGATACAGCCTCACAGTGCAGTGCTGTGCAGCTTTCAAAAGGAATGAGGCAGGGCCGGCCTAGTGGCGCATTGGTTACGAACTGGCTTGGGACGCCAGAGGGCCCCGGTTCGGATCCCATATATGAGGGCCAGTGACACTGCCCTCTATAGCTAAGATGCTGAACAACAGCTCAACCTGGAGCTGGGCTGCCGTGAGTCGCTGGCGATGGTGTAGGCTGCAGCCCCTGTGGCAGTGGGTTGCCATGGGCTACCGTATGTAGCCAGCAGCCAGCGTGAGCAGCCAGCAGCCGCAGTGAGTGGCCATCCAGAAGCCGGCGACTGATCTGCCTCGCCCGGGAAGAGCGCAATGATGGTGCCAACTTGGGCCAGTGAAGCAACGTCCTCCACAACTAGACTGAAGAACAAAAGGACAGCAACTTGTCTGTTCCCCTTCCCCCAATTCCCCAGCCCTGTTCCCATCCCCCAATAAAAAAAAAGGAATGAGGCATTTAATATATATATATATATATATATATATATATATATATATATATAGTCATGGGATATGGAGTACAGTATTGGGAATAGTCAATGAAATTGTAACAGCTGTATACCATGTCAGAGAGGCAATAGATGGGGGGAGGGGGTTATCACTTTGTGAGGGGTGAAATGTCTATTATGTTGTTTTGTACACCTGAAACTAAAAAAAAGAAAGAAAGAAAGAAAGAAAGAAAGAAAGAAAGAAAGAAAGAGAGAAAGAAAGAAAGAAAGGAATGAGGAATACCTCTAGATACTGCTTATGGGGTGGTCTTCAGGATATAACATTATATGAAAAAAAAGCTAGGTAGAGGAAAGAAAGGGGAGGATATGTATGTGTGTGTGGTGTTTACACACACCATATGTTTGCTTATATTAAAAAAATACACTAAGTTCTGGGTACCTGAAGATAATGGCAGCTACCTAAATCTGAATCTCTCTAGAGAAATCCTCCAAAACAACACAGAACAACAAGGAGAAAAAAATAAAATCATCCTCAGCCCAGCCTACTGACTGGGAGACCAAGAAGACTAGAAGTTTCAAATTACCCATTAACCCAACAGACAGCTCCTGTGCCCACCCCACAGGGGAGATAAGTAGAGGCCACCCAGAAAGCATGGAAGGGGGAGGGCAAGGTGACAGACCAAAGACAGACAAAATCGCTCCCCCAAAAAGAAAGCCCCACTCTGAGTGGGAAAACACTAAAATATTGGGTTGTCAGCAAAGTCATGACATATTTTGTCTATGTTTTTCAAAGGTCATTTATTTATATAGAGAACAAAGATCAATCAATGATATATTGCCCGTTTTGTTCGATAACCTTTTGCTGTCTTTCAGTGAGCTTCATAATTCCTCGTTCATAGGAGGACCTGTCTTTATTTGCGAAAAACTGAACAAGCTGCTGATTTACAGCCTCATCTGAACTGAATGTTATACCACGCAAGGAGTTTTGAAGAGAGCGAAACAAGAGGAAGTCTGACGGCGCAAGGTCAGGCGAGTATGGTGGGTATGGCAACACATCCCATCCAAGCTCCAATAGTTTTTGACGGGTGATCAAACTTGTGTGTGGTCTCGTGTTGTCGCGATGGAACACAACTCCTTTACAATTAACAAGCTCTGGACGTTTCTGGATGTTGGATTCGTTCAACTGTCCAACTGCTGACGACAGTACACATTCGAATTGATTGTTTGATTCCTTGGTAGGAGCTCAAAAAACACGACACCTTTAAAATCCCACCACACTGAGAGCATAACTTTCCTCTGATGAATGTCTGCTTTTGGTATCGTTTGAGGCGAATCATCACTTCGGGACCAAGACCGTTTGCACACCACATTGTTGTAAACCACTTCTCATCACCAGTTATCAGTCGCTTCAAAAAAGGATCATTTTCCTCGTTTAATGAGCATATTGCAGATGTTCATACACACCGTCAAATGAACTTCTTTGCGTTCATGCGGAACCCAAATATCGAGCTTCCTTACGTATCCCAGCTTCTTCAGGTGGTCGTGAACGCTTGAATGATGGATGTTCAATGTTTCTACTATCTCTTGGGTCATGTAACATGGGTTTGACTTGATCAATGCCTTTATTTTGTCGTCATCAACCTCGGTGGGCCTCTCTGACAGAGGAGAGTCGTTGAGATCAAAATCACCAGCACGGAATTTCGTGAACCATCGCTGGCACTGACGTTCTTGGACAGCATTGTCATCGTAAACTTTATGCAATTTTCCACAAGCTTGACATGCATTCTTCCCTTAGTGGAAGTAAAACAGTAAAATATGGCAAAAACGCACAGTTTGGTTTTCCATCTTCAATTTGTAACATCTCCAAAACTCAACCAAATCGCTCAATTTTTTTTAGAATGAAGCTAGAACTCTCAGCTGTCAAATGACATAGCAATAACATCGATGCGAATAACTCTAGTACTTCCAAAAATGAGCCAGTGCCATGTGTCACAAACATGCATCATGACTTTTCTGACAACCCAATACTAAAGATCTGATACTGGGAAACTGAGGGAAGAGACTGGAATGTGTGCAGGACCCAAGGGGTTTGTCTCTGTGAGGCATTGCTTCTGGGGGACATTTAGAAAGCAGTTAGAAGTGGGGGAAGCCCTTGAAGTGGAAATTAAAAGTCCTTCAGAAACAAGAGAAAATAGCAAAAGACACACTGACCCCTCCCACCAAAAAAAGAAGACGAAGGAGAAGGAGAAAGAGAAGGGGGAAGTGGCGAAAGAAAAGAAGGAGAAAAACTTTTGGAAAGCTAGATTTTCACCCTCTGGCATTATGTCCGTGAATAAATTATCTTACATGGCAAGAAGGACTTTTCAAATGCAATTAAGATTGTTAAACAATGGACTTTAAAACAGAAGTGTAGGCTGTGTCTGGAAACTGAGAATGACCATGGTCAACAGGCCGTAAGAAGATGGGAACCTCAGCCCTACAACCACACAGGACAAAATCCTGCCAAGACACTGGAAATGGATTCTCTCCAGGAACCTCCAGAAAGAAGTGCAGCCTTGCCAGCACCCTGATTTCCGCCTTGTGGAATTCCACGCAGAGGAACCCGCCATGCTGTACCTGGACTTTGACCTACAGAGCTGTAAGATCATAAATCTGTGTTGTTTTAGGCAGCAATTGGGAATGAATAAAGAACTCTATTTAAGACTGTACTTCACTATATGAACAGGAGAGTGTGCTCTTGACTAAACCCCAAACCTTCACCTCTGCATTCAGTTGTTGGAAGTGCAGAAAACCAAGACATTACGAAACAAACAGAAGAGGGCAGATGCATCTCATCTGAGCTACTATAAGAAACAGAAAATGAAAATCAATACATTTCAGAGGAAGAAAATTCCCCCCAAAGCACAAACACACAGAACCCAACAGATTAAGATCAGAACCCAATACCCCAACATAAATAAAATTTCCCTCAACAAGTAGTCATAGACATGGAAACTTCAAGTCAGAAATCCAAAAGCTTGAAACTGAAATGGACAAAAATGAAGATGATGACAAATAGGACATTAAAAGAACTCCAGAAAGAATTATTTTAAAACCAAATTACAAGCTATCCAAGGAAGAATGAACTCTACTGGAAACGTTACAAAGGGTATTAAGAAAAGGCATGAAAATAGCCAAGAAAATATAAAACTAAAGAGGTTTAAAGAGGAAAAAAGTATCAGCTTTATGGTCTGGCAAGATCCTTCGGTTTCCAGTGTTGAGGAGGGACAAGGGGGACATTATGAGGCGCAGACCACTCGAGGATGCTTCAAAGGACGCATAAGTGACGGTCACAGAGACGGATCGCCTTCCCTCGGCTGCTGCCTCACTCCGTACACTCAGTGGCAGTTGCCTCCCTTCTGTTCCCAGAGCCACTGACCTCATTCCTGGCACTGGCCCCTTGCAGCCCCAAAAGCTCTTCCTTCAGGTCGCCACATGGCCGGTCCTTTCTTACCTCTCAGGTCCCACCTTAGAAATAATCGCCTCTATGAGAATGTCCCTGTCCGCCCAACTAAGGTGGCCCCAGGAGCTCCTGGGGTTCTGTTAATGCTCAGTTCCTCCATGTGGGTGCCAGTTTCACAATGCATGTAGTTTGTGGAAATGAATTAAGTCGTGCATTTGTGATTTCGGCATTTGTACTTCAGTAATAGTGAAAAAATTAAACCACCTCCCCTCGCCAGTATCTCTTCACAGTGCTATCAATCCTTGATACTCTCTTGCTTGTTTCTCTGTTGTATTTCTTACACACACACACACACACACACACACACACACACACTCCCACTAGAAAGTAAGCTCCAAGACAGCAGACGCACATCTGTCAGTGTGACTGCTTCCACAACAGGGTCTGGCACACAGTAGGTGCTTGTGGGTGTGGGGGCAGGGCAGGCGGGGGACGGGGGCCTCACCTTGCGCTGCATCTTCTCAAGCAGCTTGCTCTTGGCCCTCACTTCCTCTTGGATGGAGTCGTAGACATTGAGCAGCACCCAGTCCCCACTGTCCTCGTCGGAGTTCTGCAGGGCAGCCACCAGCTGCTTTCTGCGCTCGTCTGCATAGCGCTTCCGCCGCCGGTGCTTCTCCTTCAGGTCCTTGTTCTTGGCCTGTTCCCCACCGACCACCTGCTGCTGCAACAGCTGCAAACTGCCAGCATGGAGGAGGCAAACGTGACCGAATCTGCCCATCACTAAGTGCTTGCTGTCCAGCCGAAACTCACAGAATCCTTTCAACAGGCCCACTTCACAGAGACATAAATGGGGGCTCAGAGAGGGGATGCCACAGACTCAGGGTTACAACCAGGGTTCCTACCAGATCTACCCAACTCCAGGCCCGTGCCCTCAACCTTGGCGGTGGCTGTGCCCAACAGGAAGGGTGACAATGTCCCTGTGGACCCAGAGCTAACCCACCAGCCACCCACCTCCCAGTGCTGATGGAGGCCAGCAGAGCAGGCTCCTGACTGCACCCCAGGCAACCTGGACTAGCCTGGGCTGAGAAAATGGTCCCAGTGTGCGTGAGGGCATTATGCTAAGTGAAAGAAGCCAGAAAAGACAGATACTACCTGCCCTCACTAATATGTGGTATCTACAAGGCAACACAAAAACAAACCAATCTCATAGCTACAGAGAACACATTGGTGGTTGCTGGACGTCGGGGGGCGGGGGGTGAAATGGGTGAAGGGGGTCAAAAGATACAAACTCCCAGTTATGAAATAAATAAGTTCTGGGGATGCAATGTACAGCATGGTGACTATAGTTAATAATACTGTATTGTGTATGTGAAATTTTCTAAGAGAATAGATTTAAAAGATCTCATCACAAAACAAAAAAAATTTGCAACTATGTATGAAAACAGATGTTAACTAGATTTATTGTGGTGATCATTTTGTGATGTATACAAATATGGAACCATTATGTCGTATACCTGAAACTAATACAATGTTATATGTCCTTTATACATCGATTTTAAAAAATGCAAAAAAAAATGCATTCAGTATACAATGTTTAATCAGGCAGGGACATGTACAATATATTTTTAAAAATATTTGTATCCAAAATGCTCAAAAATGCTTAGAGTTTTGACCTTTAAAGGTACAAGTTTTCGATAGCCACAAAGAAAGGCTCATGTGGAACCCCTCACTGTCTAACAAAGCACCACAAAAGTGTCTGAGATGCTGCCTCATCCCAAAGGGATGTAAGGGGCTTGTAACTAAACGCGTGATGAGGTTCAGAACAGGACAGATGGTGCTCAAGGGGGAGGATGGAACTCTGTTAACTGAGCAGCTGGGCTCTAAGCTGGATGGCAGCCAGGGCAGAGGGGGGCCATGTCCAAGTCACTGCTCTGCTTAAAATCCTTCTAGGGTCCCCATCAGGGTGAAGCCCAAGCCCCGCGGGGAGCACACAGGCCTCTCTATCTCACCTCTCACCCTACCACCCCTCATTCACTCTGGCTTTAACTCACTGCTCGTGCTTTTCCAAACACCCAGGCTGCTTCCTCCCTCTGCGCCTTTGTACCACCTTGGCTCTGCCCTGTATCTCGAATGCCACCCCTGGGGCATCTGTCGTGTAAACCTTATTCAGGTGTCCCCTCTTCTGTGAAGCCTTCTCTGACCACTCATTGCAAACTGCTCCAGAACCTGGCCCTCCCGGACCTCGTGCACCTGCCTCCCTCCTGGACCATGAGGCCCCTTGAAGGACAAGGTGGCATCTCATTCATCCTTGTGTCCTAAGGCCCAGCACACAGTAGTTGCTCAGTGAATGTTTGAACTGTGGCCTGTGAGACTGGAAGGAGGCTGGACCCCTGGCCATGGGGCTGGCTTTGTCACGGAGGTGGGCCTGACATTATTCTCATTTGCAGAAGTGAGAACCAAGTGTCAGAAATGTTAAGTGACTTGCACAAAGCTGCATAACTAGTGAGGAAAGCCCAGCTCTCCAGGTGGCCCCAGCGTGTGTTTGGGGGTGGCTGATCCCTAGGGGAGCAAGTCTTCCATCAGGGAGGGCACTGGAGGCTGGGCTGGGACATGACGTCGCCCTGCCCTGGGATTCCCAAAACCTAAACGCTAAGCCCTGTAAAAGCCAGACGGGCAACAGTCCTTCACTTTGTCCCAGAGCAGGTACCTGGTGGGACCTGGTGGCACCTGTGCAGCTTCCAGAGCAGAGCCCCGCCCATCCGGCTGAGTCTAGCACCTTCCCTGCCCCACTGCTCCTGCAAGGATCAGGACCCCCTCGCCCACGTCAGGAAGAAGAGCTAGGAGAGGCCTCGGTGTGTGGGGGGGTCTGCAAAAATCTATGGGCACCTCCACCTTCACACCCAGGGCATAGCTCCTTCCCGTCCCCGCCGAGGGGTCCCACCAGCCCCCAGCTGAGACACTTACCGGGCGAGCACCTGCTGCTGGTCCACAATGGGCATCAGGTCATCAGCCAGCACTGCCACCTCCACACCCACACTGTCCGTACTCGAGCTTGTCATGGCAGGTGGGGGCTGGGCCTCAGCCTCAGTCTTCACGCCAGCTTCTACTGTCAACACCTCCTCTTTGGCCACTTTTGGGCCCAGGTCAACCTCCTGAGGACAAAGAGAAACCCAGGTTGAGGCTGGGAGGCCAGCCCCTGGACACAAGCTCACAGTGGCCTCAATACACACGGGGCATTGCATCCAGGATCACCTCTGTCTCAGCAACACCCAGTTATACAAAAAATGCACTCCACAAGTGCCTACGGCCACCATGTCCACCAACACCCCACAGCGACCTCCCAGCTCCCCCGCCCACCTCGCACTGTCCAGGCTTCACGAGGGGGCCAGGGCAATTTTCTTTAAGTATCAATTGATCACAGTCCTTTCCTGATGAGAGCCCTTCACAGATTCCCACTGCAGTCACAGTAAAACCCCGTTTCTCCCATGCCCTGCAGCGCCCTTTGTGCCTGCTCTCTGCTTCCCGTCCCCGCCCTCACCACCATGCACCCTGCCGCTTCCCTGGCCTCATTTTCTGTTGCTGAGAAAGTCAAGCCCTCTCCAGCCGCAGGACTTTGGCACTTGCTCTCCCCCTGGCCTCCTCTTCCTGTGTGGGTCCCATCTCAACGTCACCTTATAGCCAGGGCTCCCCGGGCCACCCCATTTGCCATCTACTAAGAACCTGCAGTGTGCCAACGCCTACCCAGCGATCAGGTCCAGGGGCTGGTGGGTAGTTTTCGCTCTTCAAAAACGTGAGCAGATTTAAAGCCTTCCTCTCGTTCCCTGTGGCCTGCTGTGTTTTCTTAAGCAGGAGAGAAAACTGTGGGGGTCTGAGAGCTGCAGTGTTCAAAATGTACCTCCCTTGCTCTTGTCAGGGGGGGGGTTCCCTGACAGTGCCCAAGGGGACCCTAGTCGCTCCCTGCAGCCCTCCCCCCAGCACACACTGGGCCTCTATGCTTTAGCCAAGGCTTCCAACACTGAGTAAAGCTTGAAAATCACTGGAGAAAATGGCCTCTTATTTATCAATAAGAGGCATGAAGATTTCTCCAATTTGTTCACTGTTTTGCAGTGGGCTCTCTCTGATAAGCTGGGTGAGGGCTGGGGTTGCTGACCCTGTTTTATGGGTGAGGAAACTGAGGCCCAGAGAGGGAGGAGGCAAGTGGGGTGTCACAGGAAGACCCAGGCCCCTGGAAGTCATCCCACCACACAGACGGCCAGCCCAGGGGCTATTCACAGTCCCCGGAGGGAGGTTGCTGTCCACCTCAGCTTCAGGCCTGAGGTCACTGGGCTCCAGGACCTCTGTCAGGGAGGGGTGCTCGCGGGAGAATGGGTGGGGGAGGAGGAGGGATGGTGGGGCCAGAACCAGCCTCTGCTTCCCCGCCCCTGACCTCCCCCTTCAGCTCCCCAACCCCACCTCCTCCTCCTCCCTGTCACTGTGGAGAGAAGGGGTGATGAGGAGCGAGAACAGGGAAAAGAGGAAACGGGGGGGAGAGAGGAGGAACAGGGCACTTCTGAGCACCTGCTATGTGCCAGGAGCGTGACTTGCATTGCCTCATCATGAAGCGCACATGAGCCCCATTTTACAGATGAGGAAACTGAGGCCCAGAAAGGTGACTGCCCAAGGTCACACAACTAAGTGAGGGGTACAGCTGGGATCTGGACCAGGTCTGTCTGATTCAAAGGCCTGTGCTCTTTACACACACATAGGCAAGGCAAGAGGCGAGGTGGGGTGTGGGGGGGAGGAGGCGAGAGGGAAGAAAAGAGAAAAGGAAATTTAAACATTAAAAAAACAGGGTTGAAAAGGGAGAAGACTGACAAAGGGGCAGGATGGAGGAAGAGCGGAATGGCAGAACCCCTGGGTGGTTCCTGAAGGCAGCGGATTCCCGTAGAGGCCCAGCCCAGCCCAGCTCCCTGCTCTGAGCCTGGGAGAGCATGAGGTTTGACCAAGGCCTCCTCCAGCTCTCAGGCCTGGAAGCGCAGTGTAACCATGGCAACTCAGTCAACTCCCGTGAGGCGTCCCTCTGTCAGCAGAACAGATGCCCACCTGGCATAACCTTGTGTCTTGATCCCAACTTTCCCACTGCTTTACAGAGCATTAGACAGAGCTTCTCTTTCCCAGACGCCTAAATACTAGTGCCCTGAGCCAGCCACCAAGCCAGAGCCACCATGGAGGTGGGGGAGGTGGGGCCCAAGCCGCAGAGGTTAGACCTCTGTGAAGCTCAATGACCTCCACGACCCCAGCCGAGCTCCACACACTGAATTTCTGCATGTCATATGCATGACATCAGCTACCTGCATGGCGACCTTGGGTACGTCCACTTGGGGTACATCTTCCGCAGCCACGGTGGAGGACAGCCTGGCCAGCTTGGCTTCTACCTCGGCAAATGGGTCGTGCAGGCCTGGTAGCAGCTCCAGGGACATCACCTGGGGCTCCTCCTCCAGGAGGGCTTCCTGGCTGAGATCCTCATCCAGGAAGTATTTGCTCTTGGCCTCCACCTCGGGCATGGAAGAGAACTCCAGGTTGGAGGGCTCCTCGAACCCAAGGAAGGCCTCAGACGCGGAGGTTTCTTCGAGTGTGGATGAGTCATCAAACCCAAAAAAAATCTCACACTTGGAGGTCTCCACCTTGGGCAGGTCCTCAAACAGGGAAGAAACCCCAGCCTTAGCGATGTCCTCACTGAATGGATCATCGAATATGGAGTAGACCTCAGGCTTCTTGTACTGGAAAGTGGACGCATACTCAGACCTGTTGGCAAACTCGGCCCTGGACATGACGTCAGCCTTGTAGATGACTTCTGCCTTCATGACGGCCTCTGCGAATGTTTTTTTAAAGATGAGAACAAGGGGATCCTTTCCTGGAAGCTGGCCCCAAGCCCACCGTGTCCAAGAGATCCGCTGTAAGGGTCAAGCCTCCCAGACCCCCAAGATACTGGCTTCCCCTCTCTGCCCCACTGCCCTCTCCCCCATCAGAACTCAAACCTTGTCTCCTGACACCTCCTCCAGGAAGCCTTCCCTGACCAGCACCATGACATCACCATTTTCTGACCTCCCTAGCTGTGAGGTGTTAGGTTCTTAACTCCCTGCCTTGGGACTGCTCTTAACAACAAGCCAACCGCCTCCAGGTCTTACTACCTCCACGGCTGAGAGCTCCTGGTCAGCAGCTCCACCCCCAAGGCCCCAAGGGGCCCCCACTGGAATGTGCTTGTCCATGGGGTATGCTAGGTACATGGGAGTTCAATGAATGCTGTGGATGAATGTTAGAGACACCAAATAGACTCACTTGGAGAACTGACACGCAAACTGGACTGGAAGGAACACCATGAAGGACAGAAAGTGCTAGGACCTGCCCCTCCCTCCTTGCCTGGGTCTACATCAAGATGGCACCTTGCTGCCAGCCTGAATGGGACTACGATCCCACAGGACTCCTTAGTGCTTCCAGCTCATGGGCATTAGGCCACCTCCTTTACACCCCATCCTCTTCTTGGTCACTTGTGTTCTGGGTGTCCCTGAGACAGACCGATGTTCCCTTTGCTGAAAGAGGACATCCACTCCCTAGGGCAACGGCCTGAGCCTCTCCAAGCTTCGGTTTGCACACTTGCAACATGAGGATTCAGGCAGTCCTGCCTCTCTGAGGGAGTTCAGTGAAGCACCTCCCCAGTACTGGGCACACAGCAATGCCCGATAAATAGTGCCGATAATGTGACCAATAGCATCATCATAACAAGATGATTTTACCATGTGTGGGTGAGTACTAGGTTTGGCAGCACAGGTGTTTGAATAATAGTGGTGGGGTGGAACATTCTAGAATGTCCAAAAGGGGGCCGACCAAGTGGCTCAGTTGGTTAAGAGCTCGCTCAAGAGTTTGAGCTCTGAGCAACAGCGGTTAGATGCCCGGCCTGAGCTGAGCAGCCGCTGAGCTGCCAACAGGTGGCAGGATGGCTCAGCTTAAAAAAGAAAAAAAAGAAAAAAAGAAAAAATGAGTAGCACATAGAATGTCCAAAAGAAGACAGACACTTCCAGGAAGGTTAAAGTTCTTGTTAATGATTGAATGCTTATGGGATGTGGTTGCTTTGGTAACAGGTGGACTCAAAAGTGAGAGAGGAGACTGTAGGAAATGCAGAAACTCAGGGAAGGGACTTACCCATAAAACATGGGGGATATGTCACAACTCTAAGCTGGCCTTGGGCTGGGGCCCATCCTGGGGCTAAGGCACCAATCATGATGCAGCGCTGTGGGCAAGAACACTGGCTCTGGGTTCAAATCCTGACTCCACTTAGGCAGGTGTGACCAGGAGCGAGTTCCTCACCCCCTCTGTGCCTCAGCGTTTTATAAAATGAGAGTAATCGTGGTATCTACCTCACGGGGCTGCTGTGAAGAGTGACTAGAACTGCTGCTGGTACACAGAAAGTGCTCTATACATGTCAGTGAGTCAAATGAGAGGGAAAGTGGGCTGGCCTCCCCCTGACAGCCCGGGGCGGGCACCCACCTGTCTCCTTGCGCAGGCTCTCCTCCAGTGTGGACAGCTTCACATCATACAAGTTGCGCATGGCAGCGATGTCCTCTTGCAGCCGGGCCCTGGACTCCTGCTCTGCCTCATAGTCGGCCCTCAGCTGGGCCAGGCGCTCCTCATACTCCTGGGAGTGGGAGGGGGAGGCACACAGTGGGGCAGCATTTTATCATCGGTTCAAAACACAGCTTTCAATATTCCTTTCTTGTCATTCAAACAAGCCAGAAAATACAAAAGAACAGACACTGGGATACTACATGACACTGGGATAACGAATGGCCAGTGAAGACCCTTCTGAACTTTTCTCTATTGATTTTTAACAGGTTAATAATATAAGTATTTGTTTGTAGTCTATTTTTTTCCACACAGCAATATATCATGAACACCTTTCTGCATCAACAAATGTGTTTTAACCACACTGTCCTCAGCCTGGTCCTTCCATTCTCCCTCTCTCTGCAGCCCTCCACTCCCCCATATTTCTGTCTGGTACCTCACAGAGAACACTGAGGCCATCAGACATGAACTTCCTCACCTTCCCAGCCCTACATCTCCCGTTCACCTGCAGGTCTGCCCGAAAGCTCTGCGTCCTCTTGGGACAGTGGATGAACCATCTGAAGCTGAACTATCCCAGTTGATGACTTTGCTCTTTCAATCCCCATCTTCCTCCTCCACCGCAGACTTTCCCCTCAGTTCTAGACCATTCCCAGCAGTCTACAACACATGCTCTAGTACTCCCATTATTAAAAGCAATAAAACTTCCTTGGCCCCACGTGCACCTCCAGCTCCAGTGCCCAGTGCCTAGCAAGTGCTCAGAAAATGCTTGTTGGGCCGGCTGAGTGGCTCAGTTGGTTAAGAGCATGACCTCTGAGCAATAGGGTTGCCGGTTCAATTCCCACATGGGCCAGTGAGCCGCGCCTGAGCTGAACTGCCAACAGGAGGATGGCTCAGCTGGTGAGAGCACATGCTCCAACCAACAAGGTTTCTGGTTCGACTCCCGCCTGGGATGGTGGGCGATGCCCACCCGCAACTAAGATTGAACATGGCACCTTGAGCTGAGCAGCTGCGAGCTGCCAATAAGCGGCCAATGGCGACTGGACTTGGAGCTGAGCTAGCTGCGCCCTCCACAACTAACACTGAAGGACAACAACTTGGCTGTGCCCCTTCCCCAATTCCCCAACACTGTTTGCCTCCCCCAATTCCCCAATAAAAAAATCTTAAAAAAAAAGAACACTTTAAAAAAAGAAAGAAAAGAAAAAAGAATGCTTGTTGATGACTGAGTGGGGGCGCTGAAGTGCAAACAGACCGCTGGGTCCTGCTTAGTACTTGTTACACAACCCAGCAATGAGCCCCCCTTCATGTCCCTCTTTATGACGCAAGAAAGGGGCGATTATACTCAGGCTTGGAGAGCTGAAACAACCTGCCCCAGTCACAGAGCCCATAAGAGCTGGACTTTCAGAAAGTGAGAGCTGGACGGACCCTAGGAATCTTCCAGCCCAAATCCCGCCCCAAACGGCTGGGAGACTGAAGCCCAGCGTCACGCCTCCGGCTCATGGCTGAGCCGATTCCTGTCCCGGCACCCTCTCCACTGCTCACAGGGACCAGCTCCCTTATCCTGAGCATCCTGACTGGTTCTGGCATGGAAAGGAAAGCACAGTTCCAGGCACACAGTAGGTACTCAATAAATGTGATTCATTACGTGAAAATAAATGGGAGGGAGGGAGAGAGGGAGGACAGACACCCTCAAATCTTCCTCCAAGTGTGGCTCACTGAAGAAATTCCAGGGTCAGCAAACAAACTTGGTGACGGTGGCCTCAGGCAGCAGTGCTCAGGTGTGGTGTCCACTGGGTTGGCCCATGAGGAGGAGGCAGGCGACCCTCCAACCCCAGAGCAGAAGGACCCTCCAGCCTGAAAAGCGTCTCTTCTCCGTGGTGACCACTAGGGGGCGGTGGCGCCCTGCTTATCCAATAGCCACGGTGCCTGCCCACCCAACTAACAGATCTTCTCTGGGAAGGATGCTTCCATCCCAGCCCCTGGCCAGCCTTTCCCATCCAGTACTATTTTGTAACCAACGTCCACCTGTTGCTACGTGATTCCAAAACCCACTCTGAACCCCCAAAGTGTGACTTCTCTCATTCTGTGGGTTTGGGCTCGACCATAACCAAAGGCCCCCTCCTCCTAACACTTCCCCAGGAGTTAGTAAGAAGTCAGCTCCAGAGAAGGACCTGATACCCATCCCTGCCCCAGGCGCTCCCCAGACCAGCAGGAGAAAGGCAGAGTGAGCAGCTGAGCTCTCAGGACCTTCACAGGGGCCAGGACCGGGTCCATCTGGGGCCCACAACTGAGCCCTCTCTGAACAGTAACAGCCTCCACCATGATGGGCTGCACTTGGGGACGCTTAGGTCAATCTCTCCCAGCCCTCTAGCCCACAGAACTGAGACCTCCCCCAGGCCTTACCTGGTCTGTGCCCCCAGAGGCTGCGTCCCAGGCCTCCACAGCCTGACCGGGACCTCTGGGGACCTCAGAGCTGATCCCACCTGCGGTCATAGTTAAGTGACAGAGGCCCTGCAGAGCTGTCCCTGCTGCCATTCGGTTCTCCACCAGTAAAAAGCCGGGGCCCTGAAAGGACCCACTACATACTTGGTTCTCAGAATGTGGCCCTTAAAAGACAGGAACCTCCAGAAACCATCACAGCCTGAGTTGGGGACAGAGCCGAAGCCGGCAGTTAGGAGGCTTTGTTGTGTCTGGCTGTATAAGTGCCCCTCTGGGAATCAGCTCCGCATCTGTCAATCAGGGTGTTACCTGCCCTGCTGGTTGCCAAGGATGCTGAGGGGCCCACATGTGGGAGGAGGACACATGTGGTGACAGCTTTTTCTGGGAGGCCACCATTCCACTTATTCACTGGCCAAATGGGTACCTGGGGGGCTCCCCACTGCCCACCCTGGCTGACCTGCTCTCAGTCTAGCCTTGTTGGCACCTGCTGAGGGGACTGACTCCGACTCTGACCTCCTTGCCTTTGCACAGGCCATTCCCACTACCAGGAATGTCTTCTCCGCCTCCATCAATCCACAGCCACACCTTCCTACAGTACAGAAGAGACAGGGCTACTACAGACACCTCCAACCCGTTTCTGTTCTCCCACTAACATGGGATGGACTGGACTCTGGAGTTAGGAACCTGAGTTCAAATCCCACCTCTGACTCTCCCTAGCTGTGTGACTTTGGGCAAGTCATGGCACCTCTCTGAGCCTTAGCTTTCTGAGTCCCAAAAGAGAGATTGTAGTACCACCCCCAGAGTGATGGTGGGATTGACATGACATCCTTCTAGAGATGCTCTCCTGATGGGCCATGCCTTCCTGTCCATTCTCCCACCTGCTCCCACTCTCACCTCCCGGATCAGCTGCTTCTCAGCCTCCGTGTCATGCTGGATCACAGGTGAGGGCAACGGCTTCTCCTCCATTTGGACAGGGTTTAGGGGCTCCTGACTGGACAGCAGGGCTGGGAGAAAACAGGAGGGGCAGTGACCAAGGTGCACACGGTTTGCAAGAACTAAGCCGAAATCCGTAAAGACAAAAACATGCTCATTCAGAAAGACTTCAAAGCACTGAACGCATTTGAAGCGTGTCTCTATGTAAACGCTCATTTATTCAGTCATTCAAGAAATATTTCTTGAGCACTACATGTTCTTGGCACTGGGATGTGGCATTGAACAAAAGAGACAAAACTCCACACCCACGAGTTAAGTTTTCAATTGGAAAAGAACAGCAAATAAACAAGCAAAGCACGCATGACATGTTACAAGGTGATACATTCTAAGGAGAGAAAGAAAGCAGGGAGGGTGCTCATGAGTAAGAAGGGGATGTGGGCGGGAAGAGGCACAATGTAAATAGTGTGCTCTGGGAAGAGCTCTTAGACAAGGTAAGAGGAAACCAGTCATCTGAACGAAGTGAGGGACATAGGCACGGCCAGCAGAGACCCTAGGGACAGACAGAAGGGAGCAGTGAGTGCAGAGGCGAGTGGTAGGCTGGTGACTGGACAGTTCCAGGAACAGCCAGGAGGCCAACATGGCTGGAACAGAGTGAGCAAGGGACAGTACGTGCGAAGAGGAAGTGGGAGAGGGAACGGGGCCAGATCATGGGGACCTTGCAGGCCGGGGTGAGGGCCTCAGCTTTGACTCTGGGTTACACTGGCCACTGGAGGGGTTTTGCAGGGCAGTGAAAAGACGTGTTTGAACAGGACCTCCCTGGCTGCTGTGTGGAGAAAGTATTGGCGGGATCAAGGGCAGACGCCCAGAGACCTGTTGGGGGCCTCACAGTAATTCAGACGAGAGATAATGGTGGCTCAGGCCAGGGGGACAGCAGTGGACAGATCCTGGACATGTTTTAAAGGTAGAGACAACAGGATCTACTGCTGGGTTAGGCATGGGTTTGAGCTTTCCAGAAGCCAAGGATAGCCCCAGGGCTTTGGGCCTAAACATCTGGAAGGAGAGAGTTGCCATCCATTGGGTGGCGACAGCTGCAGGACAAGCAGGTTTGGGAGATCAAGAGCTCAGTGTTGGACATGTTGAGTTTATAGACAGCTGGATATTCAAGTCTGGAATACAGAGGACATACTGTATTAGTCATTTTTATATATTTTCTGTTTTATGATGCTTTGGCATCATGGGAGACTTGCTGGCCAGAGAGAGACCATCCCTCCCAGGGCCAGCTCATTCCTAGAGAGAGTAAACAACTTGTCAGCGAGCCCACCTTTCGTATACAAACCAACCAACCTCGAGTCCACATCTGCAGCCAGCTTCTCCATCTAATCACACACCAAGCCGTTATTTCCTGTGCCCTAAACCACCCCAGGGTCAGGACCAGACACGTAGGGGCAGCCCCAGTGCCCCAAACCTGCTGGAATTATTCACACGAGCCAGTGCTAAACTTTCTCCTGCCCTGCCTTTCCCACAGAAACGCCAATAAAGGTCCTGGCCCCTCTCTGGCCCCTGCCCGACACGGGTGCTTTCCTCTGTGGCCCTTACTGGCATGTGTGCCTCTCATTTCTAGGACAACTGTGAGGAACATGAAACTTTTCTAAGGCACTGACCCCTCTGTGTCACCATTCAGTCACCTTTATACATTAAGACCTGGACACAAATGACATGACCAGGCTGGAGAGCCGTGAGCATAGAGATGGGGTTTAAAGCCATGAGACCAGGTGAGTCCACCTGGGAGTGAATGTAGAGGGGAGAGGAGACAGGAGCGCCCTGGTGGAGCAGGTTAAGGAGCAGGGAGGACTCATGTGAGGGGATGGAGAGGTCGGGGGAGACTCAGGGCAGAGAGTGTCCAGGGAGCAAAGGTTTCCAGGAGAGGGGCGAGGGTCAGCTGACTGAAGTGATGCTAGGAGGACAAGGTGAGGCTGCCTGAGGACCCATCAATGGGTAGAACCACCAGGAGGTCGTCCATCACAAGGGTGGGCTCAGGGGGACGGGGGTACAGGGCGTGCCTGGAAGGAGAGAAACGGGGGCCTGTGAAAACAGACAAATGTTTCAAGTTTTGCTGTAAGGGGGAGAGAGAAATATGCCAGTAACCAGAGGAAGAACTGGGGCTGAGAGGGCTATGGCTAACATTAGGTACCGTGTAGTGGGAACGCATGGAGCTTTGAGTAAGACACACCTGGTTTAAGGCCCCCCTATGAAGCATCTTGTGTTGTCTAATGAACCTTCTGTGCTAAGCCCACACCTGCATTGCATATGCAGTCCTTCCAAGTGCCTCACAACCATATCAAGGCAGCTGGTGTTATTACCTCCATTTTACAGGTGAGGAAACTGAGGCTCAGAGGGGCCAAGTCGCTTGCCCAAGGAGCCAGGGTGTGAGCTGGCCACTCCTGCTCAGCCCTGCCCTGCCCTGCACTAGTCATCTCAGCCTGCGGAGCTGCCTGTTTCTCGTTCAGGAGGAGGGGACACTAACAGCCCCACAAGGCTGCCGTGATCACCCTTGGAAGGCTGCACGAATGTTAGCTGCTAGGTCCCGGAGCCACTGGTAGGGCTTCCCCCACTTCCACTGGCACCTCTCGCCAGTCCTCCATCTAGCTCCCCCTTACCAGTCTTGGGGGTGAGTAGGGTCATGGGTGGGGCAGTAGGGAAAGAGGAACAAAGCATTGCCAAAGTGGAATCCCTACCATGGTGTTCAAGGCCATCGCCCCCCGGCCTCTGCCAACCCCTACCTGGCCATCTCCCACCAGCCTACTCAGCAGGCAGCCAGCAGAAGTATTTGTGGTTCCCCAAACACACTTCATAGTTTTGTGACTCTCCTCATAGTTTTGTGGTTCCCCAAACACACTTCATAGTTTTGTGACTCTCTGCACACACTGGCCACTCTCATTCTGTCTAACAGGGAGACTTCTCATCCGACAAGACTCTGCTCAATCACTCCCCACCGCCCGAAGCCTGACTGACCACACTTGCTGCCCAGCTGGACTTGGACACCCCTGTCTGCCCTGAGGTGCCTGTACAGCTCTCAACCCTAGACATACATGGCCTACGGGAGTTTCCTCCTCCCCCCAGGAGACAAGGTGCTCATGGGGTAGAGCTTGGATCGGGTTCATCTCTGTGTCCCCAGTGCCCAGCACAGGTCCACACACAGAGGGGGTGTTTAGTGAACTCTGGATGGATGGATGGATGGATGGATGGATGGATTGGTGGGTGGACAGATGGATGGACAGATAAGTAGGTGAATAGATGTGTGCATAGAATGGATGGATAGAGAAGAATGTGTGGGTGGGGAGATGGATGAATGAACAGGTGGACTCAGGCTCTGTGTGCTCTCTTCCCCAAGGGTTTCTCAGATAAAGAAAACCTTGGAGGGCCGGCCGAGTGGCTCAGCACGAGCTCTGAGCAACAGGGTTACTGATTCGATTCCCTCATGGGCAAGTGAGCATCGCCCGAGCTGAGCTGCTGCTGAGCTGCCAACGAGTGGCAGGATGGCTCAGCTGGTGAGTGCATGTGCTCCTAACAACAAGGTTGCCGGTTCAACTCCCACATGGGATGGTGGGCTACACCCACCTGCAACTAAGATTGAACACGGCACCTTAAGCTGAGCGGCTGCAAGCTGCCTACGGGCGGCCGGATGGCAACTGGACTTGAAACTGAGCTAGCTGCACCCTCCACAGCTAAGATTGAAGGACAACAACTTGGCTGTTCCCCTTCCCGAATTCTCCAACACTGTTCCCCTTCCCCAATTTCCCAATTAAAAACAGAAAAGAAAAAAATAAAGAAAACCTTGGAGTCCCTCAGTTGCAAGGACCTTGAAGGTCTATGCTCCAGGATGGATTTCTACCTGCCAGATGACAGACAACCAGACGCCTGGGCGTGAGAGCTGCCATTATAAGGTGCCTAATGGGGAGCAGGGGTGGGACATGGAGGAGTGAGTCACCCAGCTACTAAGCAGCACAGCATCACGATGCTGCCACAGAGACAGCAGGCAGACAAGGAGATGGCAAATGTGCAGCCTGGAAGCAGGGAGCACGTGACAGAGCCCATGGCTGATGGGATAGGCCAGACAGATGGGCTTCTTCCTGGGGCATCGGCAAGAAGACACGCTCTGAGCTGTCACTAACCAGGGCTCTCCCCGGCTCTTCCAAAGCTATGCTGTTAGGCCATGAAGTTCAGAGGACGTAGGCGTTGCCTCCATGTCTCTCAGACAGGAAGCCGGAGCTGGCAGACCGAGGGAGAGGGCCTTTCTCTTGGGTCCCCCGACCCCTCTTGCCACTTCCTCCCCGAGCCGCCTCACCTGACAGGCTGCTGGGGCTCATCTGCTGGGCCACCATCTCCTTGAGCCTCTTGATCTCCTCCTGGTACTCGCGCAGAAGGGCATCCTTGGGGTCCTCGTTGATGCGTGGCTTGTTCTTGATGTTCTTGGCTCGGTTGGCATAGCGCAGTGTGCTGAGCGTCTCGTCGTAGTTGTTGTCAGCAGGCGACAGGCAGGCCACCATCAGCGTCTTGGTGTTGCCGCCCAGTGAGTCCTGCAGCAGCCGCGTCAGCTTTGAGTCCCGGTAGGGGATGTGTTTGCAGCGCCCATCCACCAGGGCCGAGATGACATTGCCCAGAGCCGACAGCGACAGGTTGATCTTGGTGGCCTCCTTGAGCCGCTCCCCCGTGGCACCCGTCTTGGACTGCCGCTCGCTGCCTGCCAGGTCCACCAGGTTCAGCTTGCCTGCCCGGAGGTGGTCCTTGCCTCGCTCATCTGCAGACAGACCAGCAGAGGGGTGAGGGCTTGTAGGTGACCCCCCCGACACACAGTTACAAGGAGGTTAGCTATCAAGCACTGAGTGCTCACCACCCATCGAGGGTCTCATTTCAGCCACACAGGAGCCCCATGAAGGAGGTGTTATTACTGTGCCCCTCTTACAGATGAGGAAACTGAGGCTCGGAAAGGGCACTTAATTTGCCCAAGACCCACGTAGTGGAGCCGAGGTCAGACCCCAGGGCTGTCTGACTCCAGGCAGCAAGGCCTGGGAGGTACAGACTATTCTGAGTGCAGCAGGAATCCTTATAGCTATCACAACAGCTCCTATAGATCTCCCATCAGGCCACAGGTGGGGGTGGGGGATGTGACTGCATCACTAGGGAGTTGTATCCTTTTGTGCAAAAAACATCGGCTGGAGACTCTTGGACCTGCTTCCTCTCCCAGTCCTGCCCCCTACTTGCTGTGTGACCTTGGCAGAGTCATGCACCTCTCTGATCTTCAATTCTCATATCAACAAACTCTGATCTTCAATTCTCATATCAACAAAATGAGACTGACAATAGCGCCCCACTAGGGTTGGTTGTTGGGAGGAGTGAAGTAAACTGACGGCACATTTTTACAGGGTGTGCACAGGGTAGGTGTTTGCTTCCTCTGAGCACAAGCCCGGTTCTGCAGTGACTGAGCTGAGCTAGCAGGGCAGACCCCGAGTGCCAAGGATGATGGGAGGCTGGGCAGCCCCTGGGTGGTGGCAGGGGCTCAGAGCACTGGTTTTGGAGACACAGACCTGGGCGGTTCAATCTATCTTGATTCCATCCCTTAGTAGTGAAACCTGGGGAAATAACCTCATTTGTCTCTGAGCCTTAGCCTTTCTCTCAGTAAAATGGGAACCAAAGACCTACCCTGCAGGGTTGTTGTAAGAATTATGCTGATGCACACATGGAAAGAGCCCAGGGTTGTGCACAGCATATAACAAGTGCTCATGAAACGATAACTTGCTGCTCTCAATACTGTTAATAATTCTTCTGGTTTCTGGAGGACACATAAATGGTCCCACATGAGACGAGGAGCGGGGAGCGGCAGGGGCTTCCTGCTTAGTTTCCTGCTGGTTGAAACCAGAATTGGCCTAGTTTTGCACATAAGCGCGGGAACCTAAAGGTAAAGACATAGAGTTTAGCCTGGTACCCAGTAGAGGCTTGGACATGGGAAGCACTTGATTCTTTGGGTGATTACAGAAAAAGAGAAGCAGGAAAGAGGGACCTGGAGCCGCCCTTTTGGAAAGCTCTTTGCAGAATGTCCCAGGAGCCTTAGACAGGTTTGTGCCCTGCTCCAGGAGGTCCACTCCAGGGAACCTAATCTGAGGAAATGACTCTAAAAGCAGAAAAGGTTTTGTGCGCAAAGATGTTCGTGATGGCATTACTTACACGGAAAAACCGGACGCTACTGTAACACCCTGTGGAGGACTGCTTAGAAAGGGGCCATGAGTCACGCATGGTCCTGCAGCCACCACCCATGGTCACGGGCACTCATGCGTATCAGATGCATGGCACACACTAAGTGCGCAGTGGTAGCTACCAATATTATGATTGTCGTTGTTGATGCTGTTTATCCTGGAAACATGGTCCTAGCAGGGGGAGGGTCCATTTGTGTTCCCTCCAAGCAGATCAAGCATCCTTCCCAGTTTCAGATGGGGCTCTCGGGGCTCCAAGAGGTGAAGTGTCTGGCTGCTGGGAGCGGGAACCCAGCTCGGCTCAGGCCGTCTGGACCCCCGCCACCCCGCCTGGCCCCACATACCCACGGCGTAGATCTCAATGCTGATGGTGAAGATGGAATGGGAGCGCGAGGAGTCCTTGTTCATCAGGGTGTAGCCGACTGAGCGGTTCTTCCAGCCCATCTCCATGATGTGCTCGCACTGGGCCACGCTGTGCACCGTGTGCATGGACAGCCCCTTCACGTGCACTCCCTTCTCCGGGTGCTCTTTCAGCTGTGGGCGAGGGGGGGAAGAGAGGGGGGGTCAGCAGCGGGCAGGACCAGGGCCCCCTGAGGGAAGGGCCCAATCAGACCACCTTTGCCCTCCTGCACAGCAAGCTGGCACCTCCAATATCCTATTAGACAGAGGGTTTGTTCCAGGTGGAACCAGCCTCAAACACGCCCCTGCCTCTTACCTATTATGGGACCTTGGGCCAACTGACTTGACCTCTCCGAGCCTCAGTTTCCACAGCTGGAAGATGGGTACAAGACACCTCCTAGGGAGGTGGCGAGGATTTCACAAAGTAAGGCCCATACGATGCTTGGCACAGTGCCTGGCACATGGCATGGGCTCCCTAACTGCCAGCTGCTGTCCTCCCTGCTGTTAGTGCTATTATCATGAAGGTGGTTTTCAGTCTGGGAGCTCTAGTTCCCAAGGGCTCTGCGTGTGCCTCCTCTGCCCTGTCAGCATGGCTTTTTGTCTTTCTGCCACGGCTCCAGGGCAACAGAAACATTCCCAGACCCTTGGATCATGGCCCGTGAAGGGCCATTTGCTGCCCAGAACCCGCGTTGGCCCTCAGCTCAAGCAGGTCCTCGGCACGAGGGCAGCGAGTGAATTAATTTATCTGATTGCTCCCTGCTCGCTCTCCAGGCAGCCAAGTTGTTTTGTTGCTGACACAGAGCTGTGAAACGCAATATTTGTCAAGTGTGAGGAGAAATAAAACCACTCTGGCAAAAGCAGAGTGAATTTGGACAAAAGTCATCTGTCTGCTGGTCTGAGCCACAGAAGGCTCGGATGCTTTGCTCCGGGCGGCTTCTGAGTCCCAGGTGGGGTCGGGTCCCAACTGCACAAACCTGGGCTTGCCCATCTGCCGAGTCTGGAGAAGCAGCCGGAGCCAGCCTGAAGGACTGGGCTTCAGGCACAGAAGGGTTAAGTGACTTGCTGAAGGTCACACAGCTGTTAGTGGCAGGGCAGCAATGGGATCACAGACAGTGGGACAGTCCAGAGGCAGGACTTGGAAAGAGGCTGGAGCCTCCGACAGTATCGGAATCTTGAAATGACAAAGGGCTGACCTTGACCTGGGAGGTGGATGTGAGGACAGAGCACAAAGGAATAGAAACAGGAGACCCTGCAAACAGCATGGTGTGAAGCCAGCCTCGGATACCTGAGCAGCGCCTGTGGCTTTATGCATGCCCACCTGTGTCTGAGAGCAGCCTGTTTTGATCACTGCCATGCTCGCAGGAAGAACCGAGACGCTTGCCTGGCACATAGTGGGCCCAGGTGAGTGAGCGGCTGCTCCCAGCTTCAGGAAGAGTGCAGTTCCTATTTGGTCAGCCAGGCCTGGGAGAGAAGCCTGGGTCTGTCACTTGCTGGCTGGGGACGTCACTTTGCCTCTCTCAGCTTTGGTTTCCTCATTTGTAAAATGAGGAGAATACCTCCCATCTCTGCGTGACTATTGTGAGGACTAAGAAGAGAAGGGAGCTAATAAGAAATTCTGCAGGTACTTAGATGGGGCTCCGTGAACACAAGCCATGAAGAGGGTGAGGATAGTCCGTCTCTCCTAAGCAGAAAAGGGGTCAAGGATCATTTAGGGGTCTCCCATCCACCCCATGTTTAGACCCAGGAAGGCCTGCCCCCCACCTTGTGATCGCCCACTCCCTCTGTACCTCTCCCGTTATTCCTGCCCCCACCCATCACCAGGTTGGGGAGGACTGAGTGAGTGACAGCCGGCAGCTGCACCCACCCCTTCCTTGGTAACTGCTCTTCTGGGCTGCAAGGCTGCATGGTCGCCATGGCAACCAGCGGGGATCCACAGGCATGACATGTTTGCCACTGGTCTGGAGCCAGGCAACACCCTCATGGAGGAGGGGGTCCTGACACTCTGCTGGACCCAACTGGAGAGGCCCGTGAGAGCCCACCTCCACTGCCCAGTGCTGGGTTGGGGTCCATGAGGGTTCGTGGTGGTTGGGGAGAGGGTGTGTTAACTCTGCTTTCCAGAATCTCTCGCTGGCCCAAGCTGATCTAATAACCCCTAATTACCAAAATGATCGGGCCCTGCACTGTGCTGTGGAGCCCGGTCACCGAGGTTCGTATCTGGTCTCCACCCTTTACTGACTGTGCCTTTAGGCTGGTCTTACCCAGGCACATTGAGCCTCAGTTTCCCCATCTATAATAAAGGATAAGAACAGCACCTCCTCCTAAGGCTGTTGTGGGGTTTACATGGAAACCTTCCTGCACCTCCTCTGAGAGGTACCAGGTCAAAAGCTCGGTGCACCCATGGGGAGTGTCATGGAGCACATCTGCCACTGGCAGCCCCGCAGGCTGCCTGGCTCACCAAGCCTGAGGCCCATGGCCCAGCTGGGGCAAGGGCATGGAGCTGCCAGCACTTGGCCCCTCAGGGCCTGGGTAACTGAGGCCTTTCTAGGGGCCAGGGTATTGAGGAAGGGGACGAGGGCCCCCTGCTGTCCCAGGGTGGGTCGGCAGGGGGCCGTGATCCTGAAGGCTGGCCTTTCAGAGCTGACATGTAGGAGCAACTCCCTGTGCCTTCCTCCTCTCCCCATTTCCCTGTCTGGTGGCTGAGCTATGACTCAGCTGCTCCAGCTCCAGGAGAGAGAAGACAGTAGAAAGACTCCAGGTGGGCGGCTGGGAGCTCCTGCATAGACAAGGCAAAGCACTGCTGTGTTTGGGAGAAACTGAGGAGGAGGGGGTTTCGGGTGGTTCCTGGTCTGGATGGGGACTGGGAGGAACTAAGAGAGGGCGTTCACACCCGTGTGGACCTACTACGGCACGTGGCCTGGCACTCAGGGCGTTCACACCCGTGTGGACCTACTATGGCTTGTGGCCTGGCACTCAGGGCATTCACACCCGTGTGGACCTACTACGGCATGTGGCCTGGCACTCAGGGTGTTCATACCCGTGTGGACCTACTATGGCATGTGTCCTGGCACTCAGGGCGTTCACACCCATGTGGACTTACTACAGCACGTGGCCTGGCACTCAGGGCATTCAGACCTTTGTGGACCTACTATGGCTTGTGGCCTGGCACTCAGGGCGTTCACACCCATGTGGACCTACTACGGCATGTGTCCTGGCACTTAGCACCCTCGAGCTCTTCCCAGTAAGTCTCTGTTGAATGAATGAATCGACAAATGGATGTCCCTCCTCAACTGAAACCTCATTTCTGGCTTCTTATTGCCCCAGAAGTTTCCTAGATTGCTGAACACCCCAAGAATTCTGGGAGGAAAGCACCTGACTGCTCAGATCTCGCAAGTTCTGGTGCAGCAGCTAGTAATTTGCTGAGTGACCTTGGCCAAGTCCCTTCCTCTCCTTGGGGCTCAGTTTCCTTATCTGTACCAGGAAAGGGTTGGATTAGAAGCTTTGTAAGGGTCTTTCCAGATCAAATTTTTAAGGATTTTTCCCACAATATGACCAGTACAAACAAGTCTTTCAAGACCGCCGCTCCCTGAGGTCTGATTTGTGCCACTGGGCCGTGGAGTGGTCGCCAGTCAGAAGAACTCACAGCCCCTTCAGATGAATCCAGGACAAGTGCGGGGTTAGGGGTCAAGTAGAAGGCTCTGGAGTTGAGCAGAGAAACAGCCCTACCCCCACAAGGGTGGGGGTGAGTGGAAACCAGGTGGTTCCAGCATGTTGTCCAATCTAGAGGATGAAGGGGTGGGGGTGGGGGGTCCAAAGGATTGGGAGGCGTCAGCAGCAGCCCCTTTGCCTGGTTCTGCCCCCTCCCCATGGCTGCCAAGGCCTGTGCCCCGGGGAGACTGAAGCAGTTTGGGTCATGGGAAATGTCCAGCCCTGATTCTGTGACTTCCTAGCCCATTGACCTCAGACAAGTCACCTCCTCTTTCTCAGCTTAATTTCCTCCCCTGCAAAATGGGAATCCCCCGTAGCAACCTCCCAGGGCTGATGCTCATTAATGACCGACGCTCCCCCAACTCGAGCATTCCGACTCTGCAGGAGGTGAGCCAGCCCCCAGTGCTGGCTGTGGACCTCTTGGCCCCCCATTGGTTGCTTGGTCAGATAAGAAGCACCAGTGTTGGGGGGCAGCCACCAGCACCTCCCCTCACTGGCCTCTCCTCCTTGGACCTGACCAGGCCCACCCAGAGAGGACACACAGCCAGGGCCTCACACTAAGGGGAAGGCCCAATGGTCCCAGCCCTTGGCACCAACTGTCCAGTCCTGCTCGGTTACTTGACCTCACCGGGCTCCCCAAAGCATCAGCCAAGTTCTGCCCATCTTGATAGAACCCCCAAAACAGCCAATTCTGCTGCACTGTGCTGGGAAATGATGTTCTTTCATTCTGATTCTAGCCTTTTAGGAGACTGAGGGCAATTTACGAAACGCGTGCAATGTTCAGTGACCCACGGAGCCACCCTAACTTCTTCTGTAGTGAGCTACCCATCCGTCCTTGGCTCCTTCTCCCACTGTGCTGCACTGTGCAACCCCCAATCCCTACCCATGGTCCTTTCTCGGAATCACAGAGGCATGAAACAGCTCACACATCAAACACTTGCTATGTACACCAGCGCTCGGCTAAGTTCACCCTCATTACCCTCTTCAATCCTCACAACCACCTTATGAAGTTACAGCGTCGGTCCATGGGCCCGCCCGCACCAGGGAACAAGGTCCCAGAATCTGAGCCCAGCAGCAGCCATTAAATGGGATGTTTGAGATTCAGGACCTTGAAGTCAGACAGACCTGAGTTCAAATTCAGGTTTGGCCACTTACTGCTGTGTGAAACTTGGGCAAGTTGATTAACGTCTCTAAACCTCACTTCCCACATCAATAAATTGGGGATAAGAATATCCACCTAATAAGGTTACTGTGAGTATTAAATGGGATAGTGTGCCTAAAGCAGTCAGAAAGTAGTAAGTGCTCAATAAATGACAATTATTATTATCTTCTTTTTAGCTGGAAGGGCCCTTAGCAATTTTCAAAATAATTTTTTAGAAGTAGAACGCTTTTCTCAAATGATTTCTTTTACAAAACTCCATCTATTTCAACAGAGATAGGTGGCATTACCCCAGGTAATGTCCAGCCCTGCCTCGTGTGGTGGGGGTAAGCCCATTAATCCCTCCCCTACATCATGGACTCAAAATACTCCAAAATTCAAGTTCAGAAGTCCCCACCCTAGTCTGACCCAGCACCTGTGCCCTCAGGATACCTTCCCTGTATTTCTGAGGGAGCACCACCTGATGACAACCTCCCTCCTCCCCCCACCTGCATGTCAGGTCTGTACCCACCTCCAGCTTCTGCTTGGTGTCAGCCCCCAGCAGGTCACGGATATCTTCATTGTAGATCTCCAGGTAGGAGGCCCGGACCAGAAACTTGGTATTCTCCGCACACTGCAGGGAATCGGCAGAGAGACAGCAAAGATACCTGAGCACCTGCCTCCAGACCTCATGGCGACATCACGACAGGAGGGAGAACGTCAAGGGCAGAGGAGTCCCCCACCCCGCCCAGTCCTGCCTGCCTGGCAAGCTCTCCCCTCCTCTCCAGCTCAGTGGACTCTCAGGCCTCGCCAAGTTGCATGAATCTCATAATGCTATTGTCTAATGCTCTCTCTCTATAAGCCTCAATGGAAAGGAAACGGGAGAGGCCTCCCCACTGTTCAGATAGAAAATCCAAAGCCACAGGCAAGGCCTGAACCAAGCACTGGCCTGGGCTGATCCCTGCGGTCTCGGGCAGCTCTCTCTCCTGTGCGTCACCAGATGAGTCCTGGGGGGCAGATACACTGGGATCTGCAGTCCCCACTCTGTCATTTCCTGGATGTAGGAATCTCTGTGCATTGCCACGAATGGTCACCAGCAGCCTGGACACTGGGATGACCGGTCTTGACTGGGCCCACAGAGGCTCTAAGTCTCAGCTTCCCTATGTCGAAAACGGGGATGATAACTATCTCCTGGGTCAGGGTGAGGGTTCAGTGGGATAATAAAGGGCTTTGCACAAGGCTGAGCCTGGAGCAACTGCTCAATAAAAAGGGAAGCTATTATTGTTACAACCATTTCTCAGGCCAGTGCTCAGGGTTACTGTATCCATGCAAAATGCTAAATGAAATGCCAAATCCAAAAATGGCAGGAGAAAAACATGGAACTGCTAGGTATCATTTTCTCAGTTTTGAGTTCTCCCATCACCATTTCAGAAACCAGAGCCTAACTCCGCTCATCTGTGCCAAGTCCAGGCAGGCTCTCGTTGCATCCCACAGTCAGAAATGCTCTGTGATCATCGTGGTAACGCCTGGGGAGCCCGCGGGCCCCAAGCGCCAGCCCTGCCCCTTCCCTCCACGAGGCCCATACCTGGACACTCTCAAAAATGTGCTCGAAGGCCCTGGGAATGATGCCTCTCTGGGAGGGTGGGTCCAGCAGGCCCTGCATGGTGAAGGACTTCCCGCTGCCCGTCTGGCCATAGGCAAAGATGGTGGCGTTGTAGCCCTCAGTGACGCCCTGCACGGGAGGACCAAAACCCCAGTGCTCATGTGGCCCAGCACAGCCGGGAGCAGGGCCGACGCTGGTCTGCGTGGCTGCCTCCTCACTCACAGACTCAGGGGCTCCCACTATGATGTCCCTCGGCTGAAGGTGCAGGTAGAGATGAACAAGCCACAGCTCTGTCCTCAAGGAGTTCACTGCCTGGTGGGTGACTGTCCCCATGTGTGCCATGGAGCCTAGCCACCTGGGCTCAAATCCAGCCTCCACCCTTTACTGACCGTGCCCTTGGACTGTTCTTACCCAGACACATTGAGCCTCCGAAATAAAGGGTCAGAACAGCACCTCGTGAGATTTACACGAGAATTATTGCATGCATTGGCTCATGAAGTGCTGGCATACAGAGGTGCTCACTAAATGTCTGCCATACATGGCGAGCGGAGGCGTTCGTAATGTCAGCAGTTCAGGCAGCGGGCACGGAGAGGGAGTACAGAGAGGGTGTGGGAAGCACCAGGCACAGCCTCCTGGGTAGGGAGAACTGAGGACTAAAAGGGTGGCTTGGGTGACAGGTGACAGAAGAGGGAGGCATTCCAGGCTGAGCAAAGATACTGAGAGGCGAGAGGCTGACAGCAGGTGGGGCTGGGCCAAGAGGGGTGGACGATGAAGTGGGAAAGGAAGGTAGAGGCAAACCGGGTGGCATCTTAAAGTCATTCTCATGCACTGATGCATTTATTCACTTCGTAGGTACTGACTCTCTTCCCTGTGCTGCACTGTGCTCTGGCTGGGGACAGAGTGATAAATAAGGTGGACACCCCAGTCCCTGCCCTCATATATGAGGTCACACATTTTAGAACTTAGCATGGGGGAGGGGAAATCAGTGTCAGAACGTGGGCCCAGAGAGCCGCTCCCAGGCCCCAAGGGCCCGCCTGGCATCTATGCCCGGTTCCACTGCAAAGACCCATTCTGTAGAATGACATGGGGCTCCGGGTCCTCTGAGAGGGAGGCTTCATTTTCATGGGCAGAACTGCATGAGCGCCTCTCCCTGTCTGGGGAAACCCTGACCAATGTGTGGGTTCCCCCAGCTCATCAGAGGGCCATGAGCCACACACAGGGACAGGTCGCCTACGGTGGGGGAGAGGACGTGGCAGACCCATCACCCAACCAAGAGCCACGGCTGGACTCCTCAAAGCCGGGGGCACATGAAATCCTAGGAATAACAAAGAGCACCGCCCAGGGTATCAGTGGCACTCAAACGCAGAGAAGGGATTCTATGTAAAAATAAACGTCGCTGGACAGTCCAATAGGGTAGCCATTCGCCACACTAGAAATGTGCCTGGTGCAACTGGGAAACTGGATTTATTTTATTTTAATTAATTTACACTTAAAAACTGAAGCAGCACAAAATATTTTTCCACTAAACACAACTTTATGTTTTGTGCTTCATTTCATTTTAACCATTGACACTTTGGCCTCTGAGTTGAGAGGTGCTATAAGTGTCAAATACAGACCCAATTTCGAAGACTTCGTACGAAGCATGTAAAACATCTCACTAATAGTTATTATGGAATAATAATATCTATTATGTTTTATTGAAGTGATAATATTTTGGATACAATGGGTTAAATAAAATGTATTATTCAATTAATTTTCCTTGTCGCCTTTTACTTTTAAAAATGTGACTCCTAGAAAACTTTAAGTTACACATGTGGCTCACATTATATGCATACGGGAAAGCACTGCTCTAGAGCCACTGGCCACATGTAGTTATTTAAAATTAAATAAAATTAAATTTCAGTTCCGCGGTAGCACTAGCCTCATTTCAACTGCTCACTTGCCACAGATGGCCAGTGGGTACTTAACTGGACAGCCCAGATATAGGACATTCCCACTATCGCAGGAAGTTCTACAGAACAGTGCTGCTCTGGAGTGAAATAGAAAACAATGTGACATGCATTTTTAAGGCAAAACATAAATTTCAAAGAAGTTTCACCCATCAACTGATACCTCCAGACTCGCCAGGGACAAGCTCACTCAATTTTGGCCACTGTGTACTTCAACCCAGGGCCTGTCACACCCCCCATATCCGTACTTACTAAATGATTTTCATGAAATCAAGTGTTATTTGACTCTTTTTTTAACCTAGTGTCATCCTCAGCCATAATTCCCATGAAACTGCATTACAGGCTGGATGTGCTAAATATTTTTTTCTACTTCACATTAGACACATAACTACTGAAACAGAAACAAAAAGCATCTATCCTAGATTACCTCACGTCCCTTTCTACCCTCTCCAAAATGAACAGCTCCATGTCCCACCCAGAGGCCAAATTCTATGGTTTTGGTTGCATCAATGTCTCTGGAAGCCAGACCCACTGTCCTCAGTCTGGATGTGATAGAAGCCATGGTGCCCGGCCCCTGGGTGGGTCATCAGAGGCGACTCTAAGGCTGTGGATGTGAAGGGGGGAAGAAGGGGAGATGGCAAAGTCACCCGCTGGGAAAGAGCCCACCTACCAGGCAGCGTGGTGGGGAAGAGCTCAAGTTAGCTGAAGGGTGGGTCTGGGGTGGAGAGTCAAACCTGTCACCTAGTGACAGAGAAAATCGAGAACAGAGCCTAGATTTAAGAGGTGGAGAAGAAAAGGAAAGGAAAGGACAGAAGCCACTCCTGGCTCACAGCCACGTGAGCTGTGCGTTTTGCATGCTGCTCACTTAGTGGCGGGCAGCAGGGTGGAGCATGGGTCCGGGGCACTGTGTTAGGAATTGAATGCTTGTTCGGTAATGCTCCAGGCCTCAGTTTCTCTATCAGGAATGATGACTCCAGCTCTACACATCCACAGAGTCTTGTAGAAATCAAATGCTGATCTCTACCTGGAAGGTCCCTTCTTCTACCTTCTTGCCTGGCCAACTCCTCTCGTCCTCAGGTCTCAGCTTAGACCCCACCACTTCCAGGAAGCCCTCCCTGCCTTCCCCTCTTAGCTCAGGTTTGCTAGCCTTCTCTATGTTGCCAAATTCCCTAGGCTTCTCCCACTCATCACCCTGGATCGTAGCTAATAGCTTAGCTGCTTCTCCACCTGATCATGAGCACACCACGGGCAGAGGCTGTGCATCCTTTAGGGCAGCACTCCCCACACCTAGGATGGGGCCTGCTATGGAGATGCTATATGTTAGATGAATGAATAAATGGGAATATGTGTGGTGTTGAGCTTGAGGTTCTATGGCAGGTCTAGAGAGGTGTCTGGCAGAAAATCACAAGTGGCAGAACTCAGGACCGAAGGGAGAGCTGGAGGAAAGATCTGATGTAACCACTGGGTCCTTAATCTTTCCCCCTCTAGGTGGGGCTTCCTGGGGACCCTGATAAGAGAGGCTCGCTCAGGGGGTTACTTCCAGGACGAGGAAGGACCCACGAGCAAGGCTGACCATCCCCAGAGTCTGGGATCACCCTCGGGGGAGAGCTGCCCTCGTCCTATGGGCAGCATCTCCAGTCAGGTTCTGAGCACGGGGAGCTCTGGGCTTCAGAACACGTCAGCCCTCTCCAGGGTTTTGACAGAGTTTTGGAGGAAGAAATGGGGCAGCCAAAGTTGGTGTTCTGGGGACATTAAATGGCCTGACAGCCAAAACAAAAAACGTTCCATGGTCAAATCTATTGTGGCAACACTGGGTTAAGGGAATCACACTAGTTTCTTCACTGCAGGACTCCCCAGAGCCTCAGGTATCCTAATGTGCCCTGTGCAGCTTCAAGCAAGAGAGTGTATGCAGCAACTCCCAAACTTGTCTTCTTTGCCTGGAACAGCTTGTGACATCTAACTTAACAAGCGATTCGCTGGACAGCTGGGGAGATTTGGGTAGAAAGAAAAGAGCCCATGCCCAGGAGCCAGCAGGCACAGCTCCAGCCCCACCTCTGGCAGAGACTCACCGTGGGAGCTTGGCCAGTCTCCCTCTGGGCCTCAGTCTCCCCATCTGTGAAATGTGAGTGCCTTCCTGTTATGAAGCGCAAATAAGCTACCTAGCATGAGAGTGCTCTGGGAAGCAACAGCCCTGTAAAGGGTGAGAAGCTGTTGCTGCCTCCCTGTTCCCCAACTGCTCAGGAGAAGTCAGACCAAAGGTAAAGGGGTTCCATGCCACCAACACAAGCCAGGCCAGTGGCCTTCTGTCTGCAGAAGCAGGGAGCTGGTGAGATCTTTCCCCGCGACATGGACTTATACATGTCAGTACCTCTCAGGAAGAGAGAGGAGGATGAGGAAGAGGGTTCTGAACGCTGAGGGGGAGGCAGAGGAGGAGGAGGCCTGGTGTTCTTGGGAGAGGAGGAGAAGGATGCCGGGAAGTGGCTGGAACTTTCAGAGACGTCCTGACGCTCTGGAATGAGGGTGGAGGGCAAGTGATCTTGGGGTTTTCGGAGAGGGGCTGAAAGGGATAGGGTGAAGACAGCCTTGACACTGGGGGCAGTGGAGACCTGGACACAGAGTAGGAGGCGGGTTCCTGCTGACTCCTGCCTGGACAAGTCTTCAGAACCATCTGCTGGTGTCCACCTGCGCCCCTCCAGACGGGCCTTCCCCGCCCCCGGCTCAGGGGCAGAGCCGACCCTTAGGGCCTCTCAGGGTGGCCCCTACTCCTGCCCAGCCAGTCCTCAGAGGCAGCCTCCACGGCGCCCTCACCTCCACCAGCAGGTAGGCGATCTCATTGTAGATCTGCTCAGTGACGTGGTCCATGTAGTAGGCGCCATCGAAGGTGAACTGCTTGGGGGGCTCGTCGGCGGCCCTCGGGTTCTGGATGAAGCACTGGCCGCGCGCGGAGTCCACCGTCACCACCGGCTGGCAGTTCAGGTCCCGCTCCCGCCGGTTCATGGGGCGGCAGCGCACCACCACCTTCACCGACTCCGAGGCCATGGTGCCAAGGAAGGGGTTTCCGGGGCCCGGTCGGACGTGGACACCGCGGCCGAGACACACG